ATCAGATCATTCTGTCTTTTATCGACACTCGAGTGCTGGATGTGTTTACTTGATAGTATATGTTGATGACATTGTTCTTACAGGTAGTGACAACCATGACATCTCTCAGTTGAAACAACATCTCTGTCACCATTTTCAGACCAAAGATCTTGGCAAACTTAGATATTTCTTGGGTATTGAGGTGGCACAGTCCAATGATGGTATTGTTATATCTCAGAGGAAGTATGCCATAGATATTTTGGAGGAAACTGGGTTGATGAGTTCAAAGTCTGTTGATACACCCATGGATCCCAATACTAAACTTCTACCAAATCAGGGGGAGCCTATATCTGATCCTGAGCAGTATAGAAGATTGGTTGGAAAATTGAATTATCTTACAGTTACTCGTCCTGACATTTCCTTTGCAGTCAGTGTGGTAAGTCAATTTCTTAATTCACCATGTGAAGATCATTGGAATGCAGTCATTCGTATCTTGAAGTATATTAAAGGATCTCCTGGAAAAGGATTGTTATATGGTTCTAATAACCATACAAGAGTTGTTTGCTACTCAGATGCTGATTGGGCAGGATCTCCTTCGGATAGAAGATCTACATCTGGATATTGTGTCTCCATTGGTGGTAACTTGATCTCATGGAAAAGTAAGAAACAAAGTGTTGTGGCAAGATCCAGTGCAGAAGCAGAATATAGAGCTATGGCCTCAGCTTCCTGTGAACTTGTTTGGCTCAAGCAATTGCTTAGAGAGTTACAATTTGGAGATGTCACTCAAATGACACTTGTGTGTGACAATCAGGCTGCTCTTCATATTAGTTCTAATCCTGTCTTTCATGAGAGGACCAAACACATTGAGATTGACTGTCATTTTATTCGAGAAAAGATTATGTCTGGAGATATCAAGACTGAGTTTGTTAACTCAAGTGATCAGTTAGCAGATATTTTTACTAAATCTTTACGGGGTCCTAGAATTGATTATATTTGTAACAAGCTTGGCACATACGATTTGTATGCTCCAGCTTGAGGGGGAGTGTTAGATATTGTTTAGATATTATTTGATATTGTTAAGATATTGTTAGATATTGGTAACCACAATATCAAACAATATCTTCTGTTTATTCTGTTACTTTCAGTTACTCTTTTAGTTGTATCTCTCTACTATAAATAAACCACCCTATGTGTGATTTATACACAAGGGAAATTAATTCCAAACCCTATTTTCTCTATATTCAACATCAATAATCAAATTTATGTAACTGATAAGAGCAGATATTCAATATAGAGGCTTGAGAGACAATCATAAACTTATCTTTGTAATATTTCCCTGTTCATCTAGCTTGTTCCTGTATACCCATTTAACTTCAATAACCTGCATTAATTTCTTATCCTTGATAATTACCTGCAACATCAACATACAAATCTAGGTACCCTTTAATTATTTTTGGGTCCTTAAAAAGGTTAGTAGAATCACAAGTCTCTGCCAAAAGACTAAGGATTAAAAGAATATAACCATGATATAATAATTGATTATCCCAACACCTTCAGAATCAACATAATTGATTATGACAACAAGAAAAAAATTTCGATTCTGATAATCAATTAGATGCTCAAACTATCATCTAGACATGTATAAATACTTTGTTCCTTTAGGCACCCATTCATATTTGCCATTAGATATGCCAAAATATTTTATGTAACATTTATTTGATGTATGACCTAATTTCATGCAATAAAAACATGTTGGTTTTCTTTGAAAAGGTCTAAATGAGTTTCTTAAAGTTTTTGAAACTGGTTTCACATATGTTTTCCTTGACTCTTTCACAAAAATAGTTTTATGAGGTTCTAGACTTTCTTTGGGTTTGTAACCAAGTCCAGCTTTGCTAGAATTGCCTCTCTGATAACCTAATATAGAATCAAGATTTTCAGAAGATTTTGAAAACTTGCTTATTATTTTCTCTAACTTGAAAATCTCATTTTCCAAAAGATTACAATTTTTATAAGGTTTAGCAACTTCGTTATTTTTAGACAAGTTTTAAATTTCTCAACATCTTTCTTTAAGCACTCATTTTCTTTTTCAAGAATACCAACAATATTTTCTAATACATTAAACTTTTGCCTAAGTGCATTGTATTTCTTAGATAACTTGGTAAAACCTTCATACATATCTTGATATTCTTTAAAATAACTCATCATATTCATTTAAGGAATTTGTACTACTTACCTGTGATGAGGCTTCATCATCACTTTTTGTCATCAAGCAAAAATTTGCTTCTTCTCCATCACTGCTTTTGGAAGAACTTTCTTGTGTTGTGGAAGAATCATTATCCTCCCAAGCAATATAAGTTTTACATTTGTTCTTATAGGTATCGTTGTTCTCTTTCTTAAGTTTCAGACAGTCTGGTTTGATATGACCAGGTTTTCCACATTCATAGCAATGGAATTTATTTGTTTTCTCCTTTCTTTGCTGTCTCTTTTTCCTGTTCTTTATAAAGCGAGAAAATTGTTTAACAAAAAGAGACATATCGGAGTCCGAAAACTTACCTTCATTTTCACTTTCGTCTTGTGAAGATTTTTCTGCTTTTAGAGCTATCGTCTTGGTTTGATTATGTTCACTGTTCTTTAACCTTTGTAGCTCCATCTCATGTTCTCGCAGCTTTCCAAATAGAGTAGCAATATTCATTTTTGTGAGATCCTTTGATTTTGTAATAGCAATGACCTTTGGTTGCCAATTCCTGTCTAAGGATTTTAAGATCTTTGTGCCCAACTCCTCATTGTCAAAACTTTTTCCTAATGCTTTCAAGTGATTTATTATATGTGTGAAGCGTGTTTGGAAATCCGTGATGCTTTCATTTTGCTGCATTTGAAATAATTCATACTCCTGGATGAATGTGTTCTTGCGTGCTCGCTTTACTTCATTTGTTCCTTCATGTGTTACTTCAAGAGTGTCCCATATTTCTTTTGTCGTCTTGCATTGTGAGACCTTGAAAAATTCATTACGAGTTAAGGCAGAAACAATAGTATTTCGGGCTCTTACATCATATTGGGCGCGCTTGTTTTCATCTGGTGTCCATTGGTCAAAAGTCTTTGGAACAACTCCAGACTCCGTTGTTCTCATCGGAATGTATGGACCATTGAGTACAGCATCCCAAACACCGTAATCTAGTGTTTATAAAAATATTTCCATTCTCGCCTTCCAAAACTAATAGTCTTCTCCTTCAAATAATGGTGGTCTGTTTATTGAAACTCCTTCCCTGTAAACCTGATTCTGCATAGACATCTTGACAGATCGTTTAGAAATATCTTATCTAACCAAGCTCTAATACCACTTGTTAGATAAATGGCATCTAGAGGGGGGGTGAATAGATGCACAAATTAAAATAGATGTTAAATTAAAAATTTATTTGTGAGTCAATAATTTGTTTGAACACAGATAAAGCGGAAGCAATAATATAATCAGGAAAAGAGAAAGAGATAAGGGAAAAAGAAGAGCACACAGAGATTTATACTGGTTCGGGTATAGCCAACCCTACATCCAGTTCCCAGTCAACTCTTAACACAAGAGTGACTCCCCATTCACTATCTTTCAAATTCAGTTTACAAATTACAATCAACTCAGCAGAAGAACAAGTACAAAGTAAACTAATTAAAAAGACAATCACCTCCTTAGAAACCCACTAAGGATGAACACCTCCCTAGAATCCCACTAGGGATGAACACCTCCTCTGAACAAATCAAAGGATGAAAAACACCTCCTTAGAATCCCACTAAGGATGAACACCTCCCTAGAATCCCACTAGGGATGAACACCTCCTCTGAACAAATCAAAGGACGAAAAACACCTCCTTAGAATCACACTAAGGATGAACACCTCCCTAGAATCACACTAGGGATGAAAAACACCTCCTTTTCCACCAATGCAAAAAGGATGAAGGTAATAAAAATAAGAACAGATACACCTGGGTAATGGAGACAACAAATTGTAGAAGCCTGTAGAATGCCAATCTCCAAGAAAAGTGTGATTAACAATGAAAGCACAGAAGACAGAGTAGAGAAGAGGGTTTTCTCAAAAGGTGTAAAATATTTCTGTTGCCTTGCTCAGAATTCTTTTCTCAAAACTGATTGAATGTAAATTGTATTTTCGAATTCTGTAATTGTGTGTTTTTTATTTTTCATAAAAACTTAATTAAATAGAAAAATAACATCAGAAAATGACCGTTGAACATTAATATTTTTGTGAATAAAAATCAGGATATATTCAAAAATATTTATTCTTCAAAACAAATATATTTTTCAAATTTGAATTGCCATAATTGATTATGTTACTAGTATAATCAATTATGACGAGAGAAAATCATTTTTCCATTTCTGATGCATCATAATTGATTATGATAGTGAAAAATATCACGTTATGAATTTTATCACACTTGTGCTTTGGAGGCTTATGCATAATATTACTTCATCAACTTTTACCTCCATATCCAGTATTCTGAGACTCTATCTAGTCTTCAGGAATTATCTTGGGCTTGCTTGAATCATCATCTTTATCAAAAACATATCTTGGGCATGTAGGAAAATGTTTCATATTTTCACCAACGTCATAAATTCAGCTTGTCCTTAATTCATCTTGAATGGTGTTGACTTGAATGTAGTTGACTTGAATCATCATCAAAATCATCTCTTGGGAATGTAAGGACATTTCCATCAATCTTTTCCTCATTACTTTCAAATAAATTCAACATTCATGAATACTTTATTGCATATTGAAAATTCAATCTAAAAGTAAATAGAATAAACTAAAGAGTTATAATTCTTTACATGTCATAAACCAACAAAACAAATTCAATATATACTTTCTTGTATATTAAAAATTCAACTTAAAAGTAAGTAGAATCCTGATTTCTCCCACTTGTTTTGTTTGACTCAAATCCAAGTCTATTATACATACAAATTTTTGGATTGGGCCAAGTTTTGAACTTGGCTATTCATGGAGTTAATTCCTGTGTACAAAATTAGGTCATCTTGAACCTTATTCTAGAAGACCACCTAGTCTGTAGTGTTGCTTCAACTAGTGGGGCCTTCACACAAAATTCTGGTCTCACTTTGCCCCTGCCCATCATGCTCACACTTGGGTTCAACCCATTGCTATTACCATTTCTAAGGATTCTATTGTCATCCTCCATAGGGCATATGACAATTTCCTCCAGCAGGATTCCACCCTGAGGAAGCCTCAGGTCCGCCACCAATCCCCTTCTTCGCCCACCGAATCCCAACACACAGATCCCTGTTTTCTGCCCTCAGAAACACAATTGAGTCTTGTTGCAACTTCTTGTGGTTCACAAAAGTACTCCATCCAGTGGTCAACAGATGCCGCCTCGGCGTGCCCCTGTAGATGTGTCTGAAGCATCATTACTTATCATTTTGTTCGTTGCAAGTACTGTTTTAATCCGCTTCTGTATAATAACAGCAGCCCTATGTCTCTGAAGCAAAGCTGCATATTCCTTTTTGCTTTTATATCCTCTAATAACTACATGAAGGGGTACATGTTACTGTCAGGCAGTTGCACTTCTCAAGGAATGTGAAAAGTTGAAAAAAATAGGTTAGAAAAAGAAATCCATGATTTGAGAGTGGTGACTCCTCTCCAAAGTTCCCTACGGTAACAACGAGCTTGGTGACCCCTGAAGCAACTTTGCACACATAAATTTCCATGCAGGGTACGATTTCTTGTATCCTCAAGCACTCCAATATGCAATCATGGCCAACACAACTTTTTAAATACACAATACAAAAGGGAGGAGTAACTAATTAAAATTTGGCTTTCGGACTAAAAACTATTTCAACAATTAAAATACAATGCAATGCAAAAGTATATTGAACACAAGGACCAACTTGAATACATGGATAATTTTATCATGCAAAATATGTTAAAACAATTCCAACTATCAGAATTCATAATAGTTGAAATAGATAATTTGTATTCTTAAAAGTGCGAAAAACTTTCAAAGATCAATTCACCCCCTCTTGATCTCAGACTTATATTTCTAACATCATGAACAAGATTAAATCTAAAATTAACGAATTACTAGACATTATTCTTTTTCCGTTTTATTCTTTGTAATTAATGATATTTTAATTCTCTTTATATATATATATATATATATATATATATATATATATATATATTAGTTGTATGTTAATAAAAATGTATTTCAATGTATTTATAAAAAAATTTAAAATTATTTTAATTACTGAATTGATATTTCAAATTTATATTATAATATCTTGACTAATTTAATTGTTGGATAAATATTTTAAGTTTATATTAATCATTTTTATATAAAAGTGTAAAGATTAAGTAAACTTATTTTAAAATTTAATTAAATATAATAATATAATATACTATTAACCATAAATATGTGAAGATTTAATTAAAAATTAATTTTAAGTTTTATCGTATTTATTTAAAAAAAATAGTTAAAAAAATTCAGAATAATTAAAGTAAAGAAATTCAATTTAATAAATATGTTAATATTATTAGTTATTGGATAATTAAATTTATAATAATAATTATATAAAATTATAGAATTAATTAAATTTAAATTATTGGTAATTTTTTTAATTAAACATAAATAATTTCAAATAAAAACATAAGATTTAATTATTAAGCTAAAATTCAATAATATTAATAAATTAAAAATAAAAAATAAATAAATGTATATATATCACTTAATTATTTTAATTAAAATTAATTTTATGAAAAAATTAATATTTGAAAATATGAAAAAAATAATAATAAAAAGATTTAAAAGATAAAAAAAATAACAAATAATGAAAAAAATAATAATAATGAAAAATAATGATTAAAATAACAAACGATCCAATTAATGAAAAAATAACAAATAATAATGATAAAAATAATAAATGAATGAAAAGAAAAAATAATAAATAATAATGATTAAAATAATTAAAATTTAGAATAGTTTATTCTTTTAAAATAAACATGAAAATAAAAAGAATTTTGAAGGTCGAACCCATGGAGTGGGTGACCTTTTTTGAACCTAAATCTTATCACTCCACTCCCACCGTCGGGCCACTTCCACCAGCTTTCGCATTTTCCCTTTCAACCTTATTGCGCCACCAACACCTTTCCAATCACCCCCACCATCACCTCTCACTCCACTCCCACCGTCGGGCCACCACCTTCACCTCGCATCAGCCAAATACCCTTTTCTCTCCTCCTCCTTCGGCAGACCCCATTCACCCAACATCCCAAATCTTCTCTCCGCACCACCCTCGCCTCACTCACCATCTTCCTCACAACCACCACTGCGCGAGTTCCCATACAACACCTTCGTCGTGCTTCGAGCCACCACAGGTCGATCTTGCCACCCGCACCTCCACCAATACCTCTTAATTTCATCTAGTTCTATTTTTTCTGGGTTTAAGGTTTATGCTATTCGAATGGGGTGTGTTTGATGTGGGTTAAATGCTATTGTTGAGCTAGCCGAGCTTGGTTCATAACTTGTTGCTATTTAATTTTTCTTTATTTTTCAATGTCTGGGTTTCCCTTGTTGAATGTGGAATTGACAGGATCAGAAGGAGAGATACTTGTTTGGCTTATGTTGGTTTAGCTTTTCTTCGATTATTAGTTTGATTTTTGGATTGGATTTATTATGGGTTTGGATGGCTGGTGGGGATGCTAGTTTGTTTTAATTTGTTATTCTCTGTCGGTATAACTATTTCAGCATTATATTAATTTTTAATTTGTTAGTCATAAAAAAAAGTATGCTTAATTTGGGAAAATTTACACTTGTAGTGAGAGTTGTTGAGAGAGATTATTACATTCATGGAGTCAAAGGAGAAACCGAAGGAGGTGGAGAGGTGTTTGGATCCTCTGGCATGCGTGCAGGTGGTATGGTGCAAATGTCAACAGTGAACACCAGGGTCTATTACTTCCCTCATGGCCATGCTGAACATGCATGTGGACCGGTTATCTTTAGGACTTGTCCTAAGGTTATGTATTTGGTTCTATTAAGGTTCCAACATAAAACCAATTGGCAATACGTGGAGTAGCCTAACATGTATTTAAACCATATCAAATGATATGAGGTAGGCGATGTGGGACTTTCAACACACCCCCTCCAACGAAGCCTGCCGGACCAGACAAAGGGTACTTTTGACCCAACTAAAGGGCAACTTTTGGCCCATGACAATAACCGGAAAGATGTTAGGCTTTGGCTCTGATACCATGTTAAGGTTCCAACATAAAACCAATTGGCAATATGTGGAGTAGCCTAACATGTATTTAAACCATACCAAATGTATTTAAACCATACCAATTGGTTTTATGTTAGAACCTTAACAGGTTCCTTTGAGGTCTATGCCAAGCTCAGGCTTGTTCCTTTGAGCCTCAATGTTGCTTGTTTTAAACCAAGAAAAACAAGCAGTTCTATATAAGGCACAAATAGAATAAAAGAGAGTAAAGATTTAAAGAAAGACATACTAGATTTATACTAGTTCACCCAAACCATAGGACTACATCCAGTTCTCAACCAAATTTTAGTTGAGTTTCATTAAATTGATTATGTTTCTGATTACAAACCCGAATCACAAAATACCCAATCCACACCAAGAACCAAATTCCAATTCTTGCAACAAACCTTCATTAAGAAACAAGTTCCAATTTTTGAATCAACATGCAGTCAAATTTCAGCTACAGAAGCAGTGCCCAACACTTCCAGACACCCATAATATAGTAAATAATTGAAAAGAACAAAAAGAATAAAGTAGAACAATCAAATCCAGATTATGTAGCTCTTGTAGAATGAGTTTCTTCACAAGTAAGAATGCAAATTTGTCTCAAGAAATAACTTTGAAAAACTTCACATAAACTTGCGCACTTCTTTCTTGAAAAGATCTTTATTGATTGTTTGATTGATAACTCAAAGGTATATTTTAAAACGCTGAAGCAATCCTATTTATATAAAGTCATTTTTCAACTAACTAGCTTAATTAATCGATTAAAAATTTCTTTTAATCGATTATTATTTCTTGATTAATCGATTAAAACTTTTTTTAATCAGTTAAAATGTGCTTGACTCTTTTTTAGATTTATTTTAACTTATGTGACAACGTTTTAATCGATTAAAACAATTATACAAAAATTCTCTAAATTATTTTAATCGATTGATTCACGGTTTAATCGATTATAATTTGTTAGAATTGCGTAGCGGAATGTTTGTGTTTAGGGACAAAAACCAAGAGGGGGAGGGGTGAATTGGTCTCTTATAAAAAATAGGGGTTTGAAAATTTTCCTCAAATTTCACTAATTAAAATGCTTGTAAACTAAAGAGATAAGGGAAAGAAGATTACACAGTTGTTAATCACTCTAAAAAGAGGATTTTACAACCAAATTTTTTTAAATGTGAAACATTATGCTTCCTTCCATTTAACAATTCATAAGGAGTTAATTTTATGATTGACCTAATAAGCATTCTATTCAATACATAACATGCAGTACTTAGAACATCAACCCAAAAGTATTTAGGAACATTTGATTCATTTAACATGGTTCTAGCAAGTTCATCTAGTGACCTATTTTTTCCTTTCTACTACACCATTTTGTTGGGGAGTTTTAGGTGTAGAAAAATTATGCAAAATTTCATTTTCTTCACAATAATTTTCAAAAGATTCATTTTGAAATTTTCCACTATGGTCACTTCTTAACACTTTAATTTGTAAGTCTTTCTCATTTTGAATTTGTTTGGCAAACTTCCTAAAGACTTTAAAAATCTCACTTTTCAATGTTAGAAAAAAATGTCTAAGTAAATCTGGAAAAATCATCAATAATTACAAAAGCATAGTAATTTCCACAAAAACTTGTTATCCTAGATGGAACAAATAAATCTAAGTGTAAAAGTTTTAAATGTTTTGATGTGGAAATAACATTCTTAGATTTAAAAGATGATTTTATTTGTTTACCTTTTTTACATGCATCACATAATCTATCTTTTTCAAATTTTAATTTAGGTAAACTAACAACTAAGTCATCTGATATTAGTTTGTTTAATTGATGAATATTTATATGAACCGCTCTCTTATGCCATAACCATGGATTTTCTTCCTTAGCAACTAAGTATGTTATATTAGTATTAGATACACAATCCAAGTCAATCAAATAATTATTGTTATGCCTAATACCTTTGTTAAGTGGTAAAAAGTTGATATAATTATACTTGGAATTGTTATGAAACTACTTAACTAATGCTAATTCTAATTTATTTTTCTTCCAATATAGGATGAATTCAAGAATACCTTGATATAAGAGTAAATAACATAATTGACAGTAGAATTGAAGTAAAACTGGAAGAAGGAAGAAGATTTTCTGCATGGAAGTCGCTCAAGCGGGATGGATTCTCGCTTAAGCGAATGTTAGTTATTCTTCTCTGGAATTCACTCGCTCAAGCTAGCCAAGATTCGCTCAAGCGAATATCAGTTATTCTTATCTGGAAGTCAGTCGCTCAAGCGTAGGAAAATTCTCTTGAGCGAATGTTAGTTATTCTTCTCTGGAGTTCATTCGCTCAAGCGAGCGTTTTGTTGTTTGAGCGAAAGTTCTCGTTTGAGCGAAAGACACAAAGCCCAAAAGCCCAAATTTTTCCAATAAAAAGAGAATATGTGTTTTGAGAAAAACAAGCAGTTTTGGAGGAGAAGAGACGCGACTACTGCTAGGGTTTTGTCCAATCTTCATCAATTCTTTACTTCTTCCACAATTTGAGCATTGTAATGGCCAACATGAGTGACTACCTTCGTTCTCTTAGGATTCAGTGCACTTCTTTTGAACTTTTTTGTATCATGGTGATATTTTGAGATATTAATCTATTCTTTGATGTTGTTATTCTTATCCTTTATGCTTTGGAATGATTTATTCTTGATTGTTTGAGGTATGATTGGAAAATATATCTTGAACCCTAGATAATGATAAAAATATTTGTTATGTTAATTGCCAAGAATGGAATGAATGTATCAATTGCTTAACACCCTAAACCTAATGCTGGAAAATCTCTTAATTTGTGTGAGGAATCAACATTTATTAGGTTTTCTTATGAATTTCATGTGTGAGAAATCAACATGGATGAATTCAGTAGGTGGCATCAACATTGTTAGGTTAATTGACGTTCTTAATTGACATAACCATTACAAAAGATGGATAAGGAAGGAAACCAATCCTAAGTGTCTTTAATTGATATTTTCTCTATAATTTATAGTTCTTTGGCATTTAATTTCAATTCAACTCTTATTTGAAAAATCCAGTCTGTTTTAATCCACTTAGTAAGAATATAATTGGAAATTTCCATTGAAATTGTTCCTCGTGGGATCGACTTTTATTTAATCGAAATACTATACTGCAATTGATAATTTTGGTACGCTTGCCAATAATTCAACAACCTTTTAATGCTATATTTTCAGAATCCTTTAAATGAATGGTGCAAAACTTACTTTCAAGAATTACCTTAAATCCTTTATCACAAAGTTGACTTATACTTACGAGATTGTGTTTTAGCCCATTAACAAGGAGCACATCCTTTATCTCCAAAGTATTTGCACTACCAATATTTCTGGTTCCAAGGATTCTTCCTTTATTGTTGTCCCCATAGGTTACATATCCTTGTTCCTTTGTTTTGAAACTCATAAATTTCTTTTTATCTTCAGTCATATGTCTTGAACACCCACTGTCAAGATACCACATAGACTTCTTGGATTTTGAAGTTTCTTACAAAACAAGAACATAATAATCTTAGGTCCCCATAACTTTTGGGTCCTCGGTGTTAGAGACAATCAAATAATTTATCTATAGGAACCCAAACATATTTTCCTTTTGGAACACCAAAATGCTTAATTTTACACCTATGAGATGTATGTCCATGTTTCATACAATAGAAATATGCATTAAATTTAATTCTTGAAAAAGATACAACTTTATTTTGAGAAGATTTAGATCCTTTTTCAACCCATACCCTTTGAGTTTTATTTTTAGGTTTTTTTTTAATGGAACATGACAATTTACTTGAGTTTGTACATTAACTCCATCTTGGTAACAATTACTTAATTCTTTCTTTGCTTTTTCAAGTAAGTATCTAAGTATGTCACTTTCATATTCATATTCTTTACATGATGCACATTCTATTTGTTTATTTCCTTTTTCTTCTAAAGTCACTATTTTTTATTTTAAAGATTATACTTCTTTTTCCAATTTATTCAAATTGTTTTTCAAAGATTTATATTCAGTTTTCAAATATTTAAAAGTAGTAAATAGTTCTTGATATGCATTTTGTAAAACATCATAGTCATTTTCATCATCACTTGAAGAACAGTCGGAATCACTTATCTCACAATTGGAAGAAATATTATCATTTGCCATCA